TGGGGGCACCCTCAGGGCACTATAGTGCCAGGAAAACGAGTATGTTTTCCTGGCACTATAGTGGTCCTTTAACTAGTAAATCTGTTGTAAGCTTGTAAATACATTTGGAACTGTCCATTTTATAATTTTTTTTATATTTGTGTGTAAAACAAAAACAAAAAAACAATATAAATATGAAAGTATGTGTGTTTGTTAATGCTTATTAAAAATCTGTTGGTTGTTATGTAGTGTATCCCTCTATGAAAAGTTACTGATAGCAGCATGCAAATATTATTAGTATTACTATGAGTTATAATATTAATATGAGTTAAGCATATCTTCTGCCTATTCATTTGCTCCCATACATATATCTGCTTAAACCCAATTAAATATCCTGACAGGTTGATTAGACACATTAGACACACTCAAGTCATATTATTCATAGACGTCCTTTTTGTTAGAGGTTATGTAAGAGATATTTAAATTCATATTGATTTAAGTAATAGGCTTGGCATGCATGCAACTTGTAGCAAGAACTTTCTTTCCTGAGGCCAACTGACATCATCAGATCTACTAAACCACCTAGATACTAATACTACTAAGTGATACGTAGAAGTTAGTATCTTTACAAAATGTGGAAATCACAATATGATTCACCTTCACAACAGAAGTTTTCAGTTGATTCACATTCCTAAATAATTATCTGTAAATGTATTGCATAATTCTATTATAGCCATATTCATGACTACACAGAACAGAACCGGGAAATCTCATCAAACCCGTATGAAATTTAGGCTTTTTTTATTATTATTATTTTTTTCGAAAGACATCCTCTCTAATTCTGTTATATCATTTTCTTTAGGGATAAAACTTGTTTAGCTGAATCATGGCACGTATGTGAGACAGTAGAATAATGATAACCAGCAGCAAAGATATGATAATCACATTTCACACCAACACAGTAAAGTGCGATTTCCACGTAAATTCGGAGTGAATTTAAAATTTAAGGTCAAAATAGCTAAACTGGAATAAATCTAATTTTTTAGGTTTGCTTTCGGTTTGGCTAACCTGGCCTGGAATTTGAAATTCACTTTGAATGCTCATTTAGAAAAAAAAAAAAGCTTTTAGTAAATTGATGGATACCAATGTCTGCAGAGGACTTTGAGAACAATGATAGTTACTCTCCATCTCCCCCTTGTGTCTGTTGAAGGTTTTTAAGCCACTTATGTGACTATGTGGATAACCCTGATCTGTAAGTATCAGAGACATCTTAAGGCAACACTCCACGCCTCAAAACATGGGAAGGTTTATTCTTGGAACAGCTTTAACTAAATTGGCTCCTGTGACTCACTACCAAAGATACGTTCTATTTCCTCAATTTATGGCCAACTTGGCTAGCGCAAACTGTGTGCAAGCTGACTTTTATGGTGAAGCCATTCCATTTCTGATTATTTCTTTATTAATAGTCGGTTACTTATATGCCCTCTGCGGGACACTATTTAATGGTCTCCACTGTCTCGTGAATACTTCTTTGTTACTTGTTCTTTTGATAATCTCCACTGTGCTTTTACAATAGACTGACTACAACTCTGCCTATAGGCCGAACACCTTGCCTGACAGATGGATAGTTCTTGCACACTCTGTTGAATTCTCACATCTTTTAATTACCTGTTAATATTGTAAAATAAGTAGATTTGTGTTATTTTTCATTGGAATATTAATGCAACAATTCTTTATTTACACAATCAAATATAAATAAATACATTTTTGCCAATGAAATATCCATACCCCAGGCATTTAAAAGCTCTAAACTCTTCCTCTACCATGTCCTACTGTGTTTTTCTGCTTGAATAATTAGTCTGTTATATTTCTTCATTGGAGCCCTGATGGTCTGAGCAAAAACATATAAAAATAACTTTTACATCTTTGTCTACTTGTCATCTTGTGGGGTTTCTTCCCATTTGAAATGTTGTCAATTAGGGACCAACACAAAGCTGTTCTTAAGAATGGTATCTATCAACTACGACGATACCCATACAGAGAGACCAGTGGTCCGGCTCACTACACTAAGTACTTGCTGAGAGGCACTAAACACAAAATCGAGAGCTATCTTTTGTTTGTTTGATCTTTTTTAATATCTAAAAAAAAAGGCCCTTAAGGAATGTTTGTTTGTAAAAAAAATGTCCAGTAGCAAAATGTATAAATTGTTATGTCCTGTTAGAATAGTCTTACATCGAATACCAATTACTGCACACTCTTGTGCAGAGTATAGAGATAGGATATCAGAGGGAAACAACTTTAGACACAATCCTAAGGGAAATGTGTCAGGTTAACTACTTTATATTTATATTAAGCAATACTACGATCTATATCTCCAGGAAGCATTGTAGGTCCCTTTGTGGTGAACCTACATGCTCTATTGTGTTTGTTACTGTTATAAAGAGAACTGACCATAACTCTATAAACCCCAGTTCTGGTGTTCTTCTTTAGGAGATATTGGGGAGCAGTTGTTAGCAGTCATGAAGTTTTTTTGACCACCATCTGTCTCAGTTTCTTTTGATTGGTCAAAGTTTTTATACCTTTATTTATTTTAACATTTGAATTTTTATTAGTTATAAAATAAAGGGCAGTGAAACAGAAGGGGGGGAGGGCACTACATCTATATATGACAATTCGTATACAGTATAAGTAAACCACATAGCAGCTCAATGCGAGTAAGCATAGCAGTAATCGAAGTACAGTAAATCGTGTCCAATAAATCCTGTTCACATAAATCATCTTAGTAATCAGAGTATGTATGACAGCCTGTCCAGACAATTATATTGTTCTTATGCTCTTCAAGGAATTAGTTCTCAGGTCAAAACTGAATCAGGAGACAAGGAGACATGAACTTTCACTAAACATGTATAACAGAACATGATCTCCATGTGTCTAACAAGGTTTATACTGTTATTTAATGTATAGGAAAAAAAGAACGTTGGAAGCTTGATGACTTGTTTAACGTACAGTTACACTGATCAGCCACAGCATTAAAACCACCTGCCTAATATCGTGTAGGTCTCCCTCATGCTGCCAAAACAGCTCTGATGTGTCGAGGCATGGACTCCACAAGATCTCTGAACATGTCCTATCGTATTTGGCACCAACACACTAGCAGCAGATCCTCTAAGTCCTGCAAGTTGCAGGACTCTGTGTTGTTCCAGCACATCCCACAGATGCTCAATTAGATTGAGATCTGGGGAATTTGGAGGCCAAGGCAACACCTTGAACTGTTTGTCATGTTCCACATAATTGCCAGGATGCAAGGTTTCTCAGCAGAACATTCCCAGAGCATAACACTACCTTAATCTGTCTGATTTCTTACCATGGTAGATCCTTCTGAAACACATACACCTGGCCATCCACCTGATTTAAAAGAAAATGGGATACATCAGACTAGGCAACTTTCTATGCACACGATGACAGCAGCCCCATCCAGAGCAATCTGTGATGCACTGTGTGCTCGGGCACCTTTCTATCATTACCAGCATTAAGTTTTTCAGCAATTTGAGCTACACTAGCTCTTATGTGCAGGGGCGTACCTGGAGCATTTGGCACCGGGGCGGATCCTATATTTGGCACCCCCCCAGCTTAAAAATGTAAAAAAAATCCACAAATTGTTTTCATGTATTTAGCACCGAGCAGTATCTGTATTTTTGTTTATGTATTTAGCACCAAGCAGTGTTTGTGTGTTTGAATGAAAGCAAGTTTTTGTATGGAGAATGTGTGAATAAATGTATGGGTGTGTTTGCACATATTGGTATTTGAATGCAGGTGTGCATTTTTCTGTAGTGTGGTTTATTAATATGGTGGTGTGTTTTTATGTAGTGTTGACATTTGGATGCAGGGTTGTATTTGTGTGTAGTGTAGGCAAAGTGCTGAGATGTATGCACATATACACATACAGGTGATACTTGAAAAATTAGAATATCGTGCAAAAGTTCATTTATTTCAGTAATGCAACATAAAAGGGGAAACTAATATATGAGATGGACGCATTACATGCAATGCAAGATATTTAAAGACGTAATTTGTCATAAGTGCAATGATTATGGCTTACAGCTCATGAAAACCCCAAATCCACAATCTCAGTAAATTAGAATATTGTGAAAAGGTGCAATATTCTAGGCTCACAGTGTCCCACTCTAATCAGCTAAGTAGGCCATAACACCTGCAAAGGGTTCCTGAGCCTTTAAATGGTCTCTCAGTCTGGTTCAGTAGGAATCACAATCATGGGGAAGACTGCTGACCTGACAGTTGTGCAGAAAACCATCATTGACACCCTCCATAAGGAGGGAAAGCCTCAAAAGGTAATTGCGAAGGACATTGGATGTTCCCAAAGTGCTGTATCAAAGCACCAGGGCCGTCTATAATATGATTAGGACCCTGGGCAATGCATTTTCTTGGGCCCCATGGGCCCTGTCCCTGCCACTGCCTCACCCCCCAATTACGTCCAACCCGAAATCACACTGACAGACGTACTGGCACATACACACACACAGACAGACATTAAAACATTCACAGATACATACTGACACACACAGTCACTACACACAAATATATACTGGCAGACATACTGACACACACACAGACATACATACATACATACATACACAGACACATACATTAACAGATATACTGACACACACACAAACACATACACTGACAGATATACAAAAGCACACAGACACATACACTGACAGACACATTGACACACACACACACACACAGGCATACTGACATACACACTGACACACACACACAGGCATACTGACATATACACAGAGAGATGTAATGGCTGATACAGACAGACATTAAAACATTCACAGATATATACTGACACACACACACACAGACATACATACATACATACACACACAGACACATACACTGACAGACATACTGACTGACACACACATACACACACAGACATACTTACATACACACACAGACATACTGACACACAAAGACATGCTGACACACACAGACATACTGACATACACACAGACAGACGTACTGGCACATACACACAGACAGACATTAAAACATTCACAGATACATACTGACACACACATACACTGACACACAAATATATCCTGGCAGACATACTGACACACACGTACACACACACACACACACACAGAGACATACCTACATAGACACACACAGACATACTGGCATACACACAGACATACATAGACACACACAGACATACTGGCATACACACAGACATACTGACACACACACACACACACACAGACATATACACACACAGACATACTGACACACACACACACAGACATACTGGCATACACACTGACACACACACACACACACACACACACTGACATACACACACAGACACACACAGACATACTGACACACACACACACACACAGACACACAGACATACTGGCATACACACAGACATACTGGCACACACACAGACATACTGGCATACACACACACAGACATACTGGCATACACACAGACATACACACACACACAGAGACCTACTGACATACATTTAGCCACCCTCCAGGTTCTTACCTTTTTCTGGAGGGTGGTTTCCCTGGTCCAGTGGCAGGCTAAGGCAGATGGGAGTTCTCCTCTGAAACTCCCCTCCTCCCTGCCTTCCTCCTCCCGCGCAGCTATCTCCGGTGAGAGGAAGTGACGTCACTTCCTCCCAGCCGGCTGCAGAACCGGAAGAGTGGCCCGGTCGCGCTGTTTAAGCGCCACAGCGCCCGACCGGGCCCCTGCTGACACATGCTCCCCAGGTGGCCCTTAGTGCATGGGCCACCCGGGGAGCCTCCTCAGTGTACGGGAGCCGCACCGCCCGTTCCATAGGGGCTGCACAAATCGCGGGGCCCACAGAGCAGCTGCTCTGGGCCCCCAGGAGCAACTGGGCCCGGGGCAGCTGCCCCGTTTGCCCCGCGTTAAAGACGGCCCTGCAAAGCACATTAATAGAAAGTTATGTGGAAGGGAAAAGTGTGGAAGAAAAAGGTGCACAAGCAGCAGGGATGACCGCAGCCTGGAGAGGATTGTCAGGAAAAGGCCATTTAAAAGTGTTGGGGTCATAATGAGAGGGGGTGGTTATGGTGAGAGGGAGGAGGGGTGATGATGAGAGGTGGGGGGGTGATGTGAAAGGGAGGGGCCTGGATATAAGAGGGAGAGGGGGGGTGCAAGCGTGGAGGGAGGTTGGTGATGCCGAGCAGGAATGGGGAAGCATGATGAGGAGGGGGGTGATGTGAGATTGAGTTTCGATGGTGCGAGGAGGGTGATGCTGAGGAGTGGCATGAGGGCAGATGTGGGAGGGGAAGCATTTACAGGGGTAAATTTTAAGGGAGAGGGTGGAGGCGCTTATGTGAGAGGGAGAGTAGGGTGGAAGGAGAGGGGGGTGATGAGAGGGAGAGGGTGATGAGAGGGGGGTGATGTGAGAGGGAGAGGGGCGGATTTGAGGGGGGTGATGAAGGGAGAGGGAGAGTAGGGGTGATGCAGGAGAGGGGTGATTCGGAGAGGGAGAGTAGGGTGATGGTGAGGGGGTGATGTGAGGATGGAGAGGAGAGTAGGGAAGTGACGTGGAGAGGGAGGAAATAGAAGTAAGCAGGAGGGGGGGTGATATGAAAGGAGCCTGAGGCATGAGGGGCGCGAGGAGGGAAGGATGAGAGGAGAGGGCGATGGGAGAGGAGAAAGCAGCTGATGTGAGAGGGTGATGTGGAGAGGGGAGAGTAGGAAGCATGAGGGAAGTGAGAGGAGAGTAGGGGCAGGAAAGTAGTGAGAGGGGGTGATGTGAGGGGGGGGTGATGTGAGAGGGAGAGTAGGGGTGATGTGAGAGGGGGTGATGTGAGAGGGGCTGATATAAGAGGGAGAGGAGGTGATGGTGTGAGGGAGGGGGGTGATGATGAGAGGGAGAGGGGGTGATGGTGTGAGGGATGGGTAGAGAGGGGTGGGGCGGACTAAATACCTTAATTTCCTGGTAGTCCGGTGCATACTAGGGCCACCCCACAAGTCTTGCTGTTTTAGAGATGCTCTGACTCAAAAACACTCAGATCTTTTCACTTGTCCATTTTTTCTTACTTCCAACACATGCAATTCAAGAACTGACTGTTCACTTGCTGCCTAATATTTCCCACCCCTTGACAGGTGTCATTGTGTATAACCAATGTTATTCACTTCACCTGTCAGTAGTTTAAAGGTTGTGGCTGATCAGTGTATGCATTCCATTTTTTTCAGAAGTTATAGAGCACATAGTAGTAAAGTTGCAGAGTTTGTTAATTATATAGAAATATAAAAATTCTCTTTGTTTGTAAATAAATGTTTTTGCTACCAAAATTATGTTGACGCGGCTTCCTCAGAAATAAATATTTCAATGTGACCAAAATAGGGTATTTCTTATTAATATCTCACAAGTTCATTTTAAAAACACTAAATATATTAAAACACATTACCATTCCGAAAGGTTTGGTTCACTGGTGTTATGCAATATGCCATACAAAAGCTAATTTGGCTAGATATATGGTGCTTTAGTTAAGCAAGTGATCTACAGTAGAGATATCAACCTCAAATCCTCCATTGACACAGACAGACTAGGTTTTGAGAAATCTTTGTTTCATGTTGCTTATTGTTACATAATATAAACAAGACAAACCTTAGAAAGTTGACTGGACATAACCTTCAAGTGCTGTATTCAGTATATGAAGTGGTCATGGTGCCTGAAGTCTGCATGTACAGCATTCCAAACAAGAAGCACTACATGTAAAGATATTAACACCTCTACTGCTGGAGGTGGAACTCCACCTCAGGCAGCAACAAGAGCACCGAGTTGACTAATATAATTTCTGTGAAAAATTGGTATCTGACATCAACATGCTGGTGCCATACAGCCAATGTTGACACACCCCACTCCTCCATGCCACCACGAATTTCCCTTAGGTCACCCTCCCTGACCTCCCTCCCTCCCTGCTAGGATGAAGTGACAATAGCCAAGGAAGATCAGGTTGATTCAATGCATCTTTATGAGGAAATGCTGATTGGCTAGGCTGGTGTTTAGTTTCGCCCCCAGCCTGCCTCCTTGGCTGAGATAATCAGAATCACCAATCTCAGCCAATCCAATGCTTTGCTCTGGGAAAGCATTGTGATTGGCTGAGATTTTCACTTCTGATGATGTCAGCCAAGGAGTCAGATCCGGGGCAGAGCTAGCACCAACATACTGGAATAAAGGTAAGAGTTTACTATATGTAGGGGCCCAGGGGGGCTAGATAGTGTTTTTAACACTAAAGGGTCAGGAATACATGTTTGTCTGCAGTGGATTTAGACAGCAGTGTTCCCCTTTAAATCAGGTATTGAAAGTACATATGAAAAATGTAAGAGATGGGGGAGTAAGAGACTTCAGGAAGAACTGAATAGGTGAGGAGGTAGAGCTTTTAGGGAAGAAAAAGAAAACAAAAAACAAAACAAAATAATAGCTCATAATATAATTTGGCTTACAGTTGAAAATATTATTGTGCTGGTCCAGATAATACTTTGCTTGTTTTGCATGGTTAAATTGTCTCTCTACATCGGTACTGTAACTCAGTATGTCTATTTAGTTTCGAAGGTGACAGTAGCTGCTCTTACATATACATTGTAACAAGAGCGATCACAGCTAGTGGTCAATACTGTAACACTCACTAAACAATCTTCATGATATGATCACGTTAACTGTCACATTGTATTAAATACAAGCCACACGCTAAATTACATGACAACATCATCTGCTTTTCATACATTATTGATTTCACTGCAGGAGATAGGCTTTTCTAAGGAAGAGCTGATCAACATACAGTAATAGCAAAATATTATGTAAAACTGTTACATAAGAACATACGAGACAAAAGTTCTAACAGATTGAATGTGAAAGGATTTTAAGATTATTCAGTATAAATTGGTAAGGCAATGCTATTATATGATAGAAGATAATTGAGTCATACAAAGCTTTGAACTCTGCCCAGAATTATGTACTTTAGTGTTTTGCACATGCCATTTTGAGGTGCAAAATCCTGGGGGGAAAAATGCACATTTAAGGCCAAAATAGCCACACTGATTTTTATTCATTTATTTTCAAATTTCCAGCAATTCACTTTAGTCAGCATCACTTTATTAAGTCCCTGAAGAATGGAGTGATTTAAAAAATAAAAATAAAATTTTAACAGGCTTATGGCCTATGGACTAGACAACTAGATTAAAAACGGTAATTTTACTTTCCGTAAATTCCTTCTTCCTTAGTATGGTGGCAATACTTAAACATGTGGGTAGTCACTTCTCTCCGTGGACAAGAAGCTCTATAAATTTTAAAATCTAAAATCCTTTCCCGCCTATTCACTTATAAGACTGCTCCTCCAAGCCTCACCAATTATCCAAATGGTGAGACCAAATACAGAGACCAAACACTGCAAAATATAATTTAATCTATACAAAAAATAAGCAGGGAACTACTGCCATTATATGCAGGAAAAAGGATTTTCCGGTAGGTAAAATTACTGTTTTTCCTCTCATATAGTGGCAGTACTGAAACATGTAGGATATAACAAGATTCCTTCCACAAACATGGGGTGGAAATATTAGTAGGCCCCTGCTTGAAGCACCTTCCACCCAAAAGGAAGGAAATATGTCCAGCCTGTAATGCTTAATGAAGGTATGGAATGATGACCAGGTAGCCACTTTACAGATATCCACCGGAGAAGCTGTGGATCTTTCTGCCCATGATGTAGCACTAGCCATAGCTCTTATGGAGTGGCAATTTACAGGAAATCTGAGAGCAACCTGACAGACTTCATAAGCTAGTTTAATAGCTTCTGTAAGCCACCTGGCAATTGTGTGGACAAATGGAATTGTGTGAAATGTGACAAAGATGTGATCTGAGATCCTGAAACATCTAAAGATAGATTTCTAATGCTTGTTTCACATCTAGAAGATGTCACTTCTTTTCTGCATCAGATGATTGTGCATGGCAGACTAAAGGTAAAACAATGGGTTGGTTCATAACTTTCCTAAAAATTACTTTAGGTAAAAATGAAATTCTGATGTTATCTAATCAGTTTCATCTTATTTACATATAGCTTAGTTCCCATGCCGTGGTGTCGACTAACACTGGACTTCCCATCCAGGGCCAGCTTAACAAAGCAAAGCATTTCACTATGAAAAAAAAAATTCTGTTGTGTTTTTTAGCTATGTTTCTTTAGGCTAATAGTGCTGTTCTGCAAACGTTCTATAACACACTCTCATGCTATTTTGATGCAGCCTCCCACTATCTAGCATGTTACACAGTTCTCTACTTAATTAATAGCGTGTATCTGTTAACTCATGGTACCATAATTACTATTGAAGACACCATCTCCCTAATGCCGAATTTAATTGACCTCTTCATATTAATTTTCATGCATTTTTTTCTCACTATTATATTGTGAACAACAGGACCTTCTTAAAGGGACGATGGGGGATACCCTAGCTGAGTTTACATATATGCCTCATTGAATGGCACTTCTAAGCAAGCCTAATGGCTGTACTTACTAATCTGGATAGCCTTAGCTAAGAATATACATTTGTTTTTACTTGAGTCTAGTCCAGTGCCCAGCTTATTTTTTTATTTTTTATTTTTGTTTTAAATATGTTTATTTGTTTCATAACATATTCCAATGCAAACGTATTCGTGTTAAAGCGGGTTAGTGTCTGCGCAGAGGCCTGGTTTTCATTGCTTGAATGGATGTACAAATCGTTGCCTGCGCAGAGGCTCATCAATCATGTCTATTGTTCTATAGCGTTTAATATAATATCACATTTGAGCGTGTTTTTGTCGTCTTTCTTTTTAGGACATTGTTCAATCTTTGCAGTATCTAATAATCATTTGGCATTGAATGATAAGATATCATTAAGTCCTTGCTGTCTGGCCTGATTCTTATCTGTCTATCTTGCATATTTATAGCCAAATAAAATATATTAATATGTAAGCATTTAAACGTGTAAATGTTCATTTAAATGAAATAATTAATTCATAATGCGTGGTCTTATATAGACTGTTGCTAAAAGTGCAGTACTGATAAAGTTTATATAATCGGACACCCTTTATAAAATGCTGTAGTCTTGTATATTAAACATGCATTAACTTTACGAGAATTTATGTTTCGTAACTTGAATCGAACATGGGGATGCCGCGTTTAAACGCTGTGTCCCAGCTGCTATAACCATATAGAGGCAATTAACGTCTTTTATCTAGCCCATTTCTCCAGTCCGGTTGTTGGAGCAGGTTTTTGCATCATGAATAGACCCAGCTTGATTATTATACTCTGTTTTGTAAGCGTGCACCACTTTTGATTTCCCCCCCCAAAAAGCGTGCAGTTAGGCCTCTATGCCTACAGTGTTATGCTTAAATGTTATTACTTGCCTTGCTTTTGCTGTTGTGGCATAGCAAGAATGCCTGTTACTCTCATACACGTAAAAAAAAAGAAAAGAAAAAAAAAAAAAGAAGGAGGAGGTCTGGGATGCAAGACCACTTTGTCTGAGTGGAAAATTGTAAATTCAAAAGCTGAAGATAGGGTCTGCGTTCTCCTATTATCCTTGCAAAAGAGATTACTACCAAAAAAAATGTTTTGGGTGAAAGAATTTTCAATGAAACATCTTGTAAAGGCTCAAATAAATGTTCACACAAAGCTTTAAGGACCGACAGATGCCAAGTCTAAAACAGTGACAGTTTAGGAGGGCATTTCAGCAAAATTGATGTAAAAAAATTTGCAGATAAGAATGTTGGATGCTATATCACACACAAGGAAATGACTCAACGCTGAGATTTGGACTTTCAGAGTTGACACTCCTAAACCGAATAGAAACCCATCCTGCAGAAATGACAATGTATTGAATGGATGATTTGAAAGGCATCCTCTCTGAACACACCAATGCAGAAATCTGTGTCATATCCTAAGATAGATCTTAGTAGTTGATGAACTGGTAAATGCCAGAATAACTTCACACAAATTCTCTGAACCCCTGCTTTCTTAGTATCACCTTTGCAGCAGCCCTGCCATTAACTTGAACATTTGCAGTGCCTCTATTGGAACATTTATGTTCTCCATGTTGTCTGATATTGGAAGCATCCAGTACGACTTTGCCATCCACTCTATTTGTGAAAACCAGCTCCTGTTTGGCCAGTAAGGAACAATCGCGAGAACAGAAGTCTTGCCACTTAGCTTTCAGGCAACATTCCTCTCTGCCAGCACTCTCTGGTTACCAAATTTCCAATTCAGGAACTCCTGAAGCGACTTGTCCGTCCTGTTGTCAGGACAAGAACTGGTGAGGCCTGGAGGAGCAGAATCTTTTAAGTTACTAGGTGGAAAGGGTTTTAAATATTTACAGTTGAGAGCTTCTTGTCCAGAGAGAGAAGTGACTACCCACATGTTTCAATACTGCCACTATACAAGAGAAAAATAATTGTGCAGAATCTTATTGCCAGATTCTAAGCATTGACTTTAAACGTGTCTTGCCTCCTCACTCAGATTTTGTGACAGCATGCCTATACCATGCAGATTAAATTAAAACGTTTGTTGGACCTGCAGTTTCAGACTGATCATGGCCATTCTGAGAATAACTGCTTTCCACAGAACATTAAATACACTTCCAATTTCGAATGGCCTACTGGTTATTTCTAATTGGAACCCCTCCCCATCATAGAGCAGAAAATTAAGCTAAAAATGTACTTTTAATCTACTGCCTGCTAAAGCTCCTGATGCTCCTCATCTTATGCCAAATAAGCATTTGACAGGACCTCACTTAGTGCATGCACATACATGAAGATGGTGAGAGGAAGGCAAAAAGTTTCCTCTTGCAGTGACACTGCAAGCAAGGAATAGGACATTTGTTGACATATACCAATGTTACACATAAGAGCCCAAGACATGCGTACAACTAGTCCCTGGCACATATTTCTGGATGTGTTTCAAGCAGAGACCATGCACCTTCAGACTTCTGCTTTTAGAGGTGCTAATTGTGGTTGTAATAACCCTCAACACCAAACCAATTATAGTTTTACTCACAGATGAACTCTCCCCCTTACTCATTGAGCCTTAGACATTTTTATACCAGGCATGCTAAAGCCCTAGTAACCGTATAAAACTCACAAGTTGCATATACACCGCTTCCTGCTTGATGTGACGGATATTATACCCATCTACTTATATTTGCTGCTTTCATAAAGGCAAAAACACATTCTCCAGTTTCCACCAAGTCAAGCCTTACATTTCAATCCAGAAAGCTGGCATCGTTGCAGGTTACTCATTGTAAACCACTACTTCCAACCCCAGATGCTTTTTGTTCATAAAAGTGTGTTTTAAGTGACATGTAGATTTAAAATTACTTTGATCCCAACAATGGTCCCAGGAGATGGAATTTTGTTAATGCATGCTGAACAAAGTTATGGTGGCTCATCACCATCTTAAGATCTTTACTCTTAATATACATTGGTGCATAATCACATGCAGGACTCTTCATACATTTACCAACTGCATGTTACTTAGAGAAGGTAGTTTGAATGGGCAACGCAAACACTAACCCAGACCCTGATTGCACCAAAATGCACATTTTCCCCCACTAGCACTCCTTAAACACTATAGTCACCCAGATCACTTAAACTTAATGAAGTGGTCAGAGTACAGCTGTTTTAGAAGCTGCGAGGTTTACATTGCCGATTACGTCCACCTCTAAGGGACGTCAGTATGGCCAATGACTTGCTGTGCACACACATTAGGTCCCACAATGCTCCTCTATGTGGAGTATTGGATTGGACAATTGTAGGAGGAATGAAATTACAGGGGGAGCTGAGCGAAGGAGTGCCGATATGGGTTTGAAATTGTACCTTTTCATGCACAAGCCCAAGATTTCTACCAGCCATATAACCCCCTCTTTAGCCAATGCTTGGCTGACTAATATTGTAAGCAGCAGTCAATTTAGCTTTTTGCCCACCCTCTGTCAACGTTACGCAATCCCTCAATATTGACACTACGCTGGTCTCTTACACGAGTAACATGAACATAAACAAAAAGGCCAGGTGTTCGAAAGACTATTTTATTGTCAAATTTACAAGTACAATCCCAGTTTAACGATAACGGTGCAGCTGAAGTGTGTTGCGTCTTCTCCAGGCAGCACGACGAGAACCACCAATGGTGAGATGGAATTTGTGGCCCTTTCCAAGACCACGACTCTTCTTGCCAGCAGATGTCAAGCCACGCATTTCCCTGTGCTTGTGCACTGGTTTTGTGATCCATTGGGTGTCTGGGTTGCGCCTTATTGCCTTGTGGAAGGGGTCGATGAGAATGATCTCAAAGAACTTGTAAGTGGAGTCTTGTCCCACCCAGTATGAGTTTAGAACTCTTAATCCACCACAGTGACGACCAGCACGTTCCTATAATAAAATTTAAAAAAATAAAATAAATTAAAATCCACGATTAAATGTAAACCTCTTATTTTAACGTTTAACCCCTTAAGGACACATGACGTGTGACATGTCATGATTCCCTTTTATTCCAGAAGTTTGATCCTTAAGGGGTTAAACAGTTACATGAAGAAAGTTGGATATTGCCAGTATAAGTTACAGTATATGTTCACACATCTTTCTGACCAACACATAAGTCGATTAAAATGTATCATGTAAAGCAGGATACTTTTGTAAGCTACACCCCATTGCAAATGTTAAAGGAAAAGTAAAGTTATGGTATAAAAACCATGTATGAGAATTTAAAAATGCCCCATATCATACAAAACAGGATTCAGTATACTTAACAGATAGATACAGTCGCCATTGTGTACAGATAAGTTCTATCACCATTTTGTTACAACACACACAGTAAATAAGTGCAGCTACACCAGACAACTTTACCCAAGTAAAATACAAAAACAAGAATATAAATAACTTAAACTTTATTAAATTGAGAGCTTCCCAAGGTAACACCTCCCAGTGGGTCCCTGACAAATAGACGTTTAGAATATATGAAAAAAAATAAAAAAAATAATGGGATACAGCTGTAAACCTAAAAGAATATATATATAAAAAAGTGTAGTATCCTTTTAAACAGTATATGACTTGCCTGCCAGGCACGTGGTCTACTGTAGTGCTGGCTTAAGAGATCCAGATTAAAGGGACCTCCAGGCATCCAGACCATTTGATGAAGCAGGAAGTGCCACTAGAGAGCTCTTCATAGCACAGAAAACCTGTGCTAGAGCTTCGCCATGCTGTGTAAGGACCTCCAGTGTTGCTCAATTCCCCATAGGAAAGCATTGAAAACTATTTTCAATGCTTTGCTATGGGGAGCTCTTTTCTCCAGCCAAGAATTTCGAAGTAGGAATAACATACATACATACAACATCATATGCAATTGAGAAAGGTCATTAACAATAGTTTAGACATTTGGGTTTCGGAGAGGAAACAGCCAACCACATACCTCAGCAACAGACTGGAGGCTACGAGCAAACTTAAGCTGGTTTATACCATGATGCACAGGTTTTCCATAGGTGGCACCCTTGGGCACGGGGCGTTTGCGGCCACCACGGCGAACTCTGACACGGTAAATTACGTAGCCTGTTGAGAGAGTAGAAATCATAAGTAATACACAATACAAACTTTGTAGAGTAGTCAGAACATTGCATATTTGTATACATAAACAGAGACTGATCCATTTTCAGATCACCCAAGGAAATATTGAAAGGTTTACTGAGGTAAAAAGTGTGCAGTAGCAGCATGTAGGTACCGTTGCCTCCTCCACACCTATAGGTGATCAGAGTCATTACCAATGCACCTGCACTAATGCACTTTATGAAGTCATTACCAACAGTATATTTTGAATTATTCTGCCCATTCTAATAAGCCATTTAAAAAGCCTCATTACAGGAAGAAGCAAGCTAGCTGGCATAAACCACATAATATTATGTGATGACAAAACGTTAATAGGTTGATTATACCCATGTGTGAGCAGATTCAGATTACACTAAAGTACAATTTTAGTGAAAACTCAAGGGACACTATTACGATATAAATTCAAACTTTAGGCCAAAAGTTGCACAGCTTGAAACATAGCAAGTTACAAAATGTTTCCTATTTGACCCTAAAATTTTGAAATTCACACTTTGGTGAATAACCCTGTCAGTGTATACCTGGAGTGAGTAGTCAAGTATCAAGCAACCCAGGATTTTTTTATTTTAAACAAAGCGGTCAGAACAAAAATACATGTGCCACCATGTTCAGTAAATGCATGCCCTGTGCACCTATATAATTAAAACAGTAATCATCCATACATCTGCAGTATTGTTTATAAATCATGAACATTATGCAGTATTATACACAAGGTTGACCAACAAGTAGTTGCAGCAAGAAAGGGTAGCAGGAGCTTTGCTAGTTTCTGTTGCAAGCACTAGGATATGCTTTCAAAGATAGTTTATAAGCAAGCCATGGGCAAACTTTGCACTTTTCTGCCAAAATCAAACACGTCTGCAATCCTTTCCTAGCCCATTTGTTGCTGTAGAAAGATGCAAATGTAAACATGCGTTTACACTGTTTAAGGGAGATAATATGAGGAGGTTTTAAAAAAAAAAAAATATATATAAAATAAAAAGATACATTGATCCTTGCATATATGTCTAGGGAAACTACTGAACAACACCACAGTTCTATTATGGCAAGTATACTTAATTTAGCGGATAAATCAGAACATTACATGAACCTAGGGCACATTCGCATACCAAGTTCACTTCACAAATATGGAACAGGTTTGATAAAGCAGCAAAGAAAAGTGATCTACTGTGTAGAATGCCATTGTAAATTAGACAGAAAGTGCCAACATTGGAGAGTTATCAATGGTTCAAACCCTATAGTTGTGCATACTAACTCACCTTGCTTTGCCTTGTAACCAAGTCTACGAGCCTTATCTGGGCGAGTGGGACGTGGAGCACGGTGGAGAGAAGACAGCTGACGATACTGCCAGCAACGGACACGCAGAAGAAAGCGCATGACATCGGACTGCTTCTTCCTCCATAATTCTTGCATGTACTTGTAGGCACCCATGCTGGCTTACACTAGATAGTAAAAGAAAGTAAGAAGACACAAAATTCACTATCACCACATGTCACTATACAAGGCCCAATTTATACAGGAAACAGTAATTGAATTACATTACTTTGCCCCCAATGGTCTCTTGATTTCTTTTAATGGGACCACACCAACTACAGCATGACACAATTGAAGCATGGGGGGAGGGGGGGTATTTAGCAGAGTGAATAGATATTGATTGGAAAGCACAAGAAATAAAAATCAAAATCGTGCACATAAGTCAACATTCACATAAGTCAACAAAACACACACACACACACACACACCAGTGTAACAAGACGTCATACTAAATTAACAGTAATCTAAAAACACGAAGAAAAAAAAATAAAGTGTTTAGACAAGACTGCTATTTAGTATTGCAGTTTACAAGCTAGATATGAAGTCAATATTTAGTAGATACAACGTGTTAATTTGCCTCCAGTTTAGTGCCTGAAGCAGAGCTGGCAGAATACTCCTGGGGTGGGAATGTCAGATAAAGCCCAGGCTGGCTGGCAATGAACGTTCCATTACACTAGAATTGGAGTTTTATTAAGAACGCGCGATAGAATACGACATATTGTACAACAGTAAAGACCTACAGCACAGACATGCACACCGCGGCCCTCACAGCCTGGCTCGAGTAACGGGAGGGGGCTACAGCAAGCCGGCTAATTCAGCTCCAATACAGGCGAGAATCAGCCGGCGAGGGGATGGGAGAGGAGAATGGACACGAGAGACACAGAAAGTTAAATCTCCATAGGCGGATGACAAGAAAACACCCTTGATTTACAGTGGATTGAAAACCATAGAAGGCTTCAATCACGCAATCGCCTCCATTACCTGATGGCTCGGCAGCCGGAAAGGAAGGAAGGACTTTTACAGCTTCCTTTATGACGTTTCCAGATGCTTGACGACTTCCGGCAAAGAATAAAAGGGGGTGCCGGGACTTGTAGTTTATATGCAGAGCATAACACAGAGTGTGGGGAAATATACAATTACTAAATATAGACTTTTACTACTACTATTACTAATAATAATAATAGTAATAATAATAGACTGTACTGGGAGCTATTCACTAAATACAGGATTTCAGATAATTAAATCAGAATGGCAAAAGGAAGGCCAAAATAGTTGTCTTGAAGGACTTCTGCAACTCAGCTGTAGTCTTGGCAATTTTAACAAGGAAAATCCCTGCATAGTTTATGTCTCTCTCCTGCAATACTTTAATGCGAACAGGCATTGCAACACACACACATTTTTTTATCAGCAGAAGCTGCAGCTCACAAACCCTGCATGCTAGTGTCCAGAGGCATAATTTCCTCCCTGATTCTCATGTCAGTCCTCCTGCCTGTCAATAAGTAGACGCTATAGCTGCTAGTTTGTACTAAAATATTACCCCATAAATGTACATGCAAAGTATGGAAGGTAACAAGTACACACAAATCCTCTTCAACATATAGAAACACAAACAAGATATAAGACACACACACAGATCCACATAATGACACACATGCACAGATCCACGCACACTACCACTGATACACATGCACAGAATCCACACACTGACACACATGCACAGATCCACACATACTGACACAAATTTACAGATCAACACACTGACTCACATGCACAGATCCACAACACATAGATTGACACACATGCACAGATACACACTGACACACACATGCACCCTCTTTATGAATACAAAAAAAAAAAAGGTTTCCTGGCATATTCTGCCAGGATCTGGACTGTTAAGCAGTGTGGGTTTTATTACAAAGTTATGTCCTTCTTTCAGTCAGAAACCCAAGCCAGCACATGGGCTTATTGTGATACATTCTATAGTTTATTGTTTTTTTAAGTAAAAATTGATTTTTAAAAACAAAATAGCCTAGAATAAATTCATGGAAATTATCTGAAGTGGCAAAATTTTCCATCGTGATTAATTTTGCCTAAATTGTGCATTCTGTTTTTCTGAGTATGCCAAGCTTACATTCTAACATATATGTACATAGTTACACAATACATCATTGCAGACTTAAGCCCATCTTTAACTTTAAATTAATAATAGACGTTCTCCTTTTATTTAAGTACTAAAAATAACAATGTGAAGAACCTGCATAATTTATAGAATGCTGTAATTTATTCGTGATTTCAGGCCACAATATTTGATAACAAGCCAAGTTTAAGAACACTTCTAAATCGATAGTTTTAGTAAAAAAAATGCAGTTACATTGTAAACGCTACACAATCCCAGGATTGATTAATAATATCTTTCTTATACAGTTAACCTATTTAGGGCAACTACTGAAGTGGTAAATTACGTCAATAAAAGAGATTTAAGACTCCATTATTACATAAGCACAATTTATTTTATGATTTATCACATACTTATTTATCTGATTAGCTCTAGGGAGCTCGTTGTAGAGCAGGAAGACTCTGTGAGCAGTGCATCCTGCTATGAAGTTACATCACATGAGTTCTGAAACCTCAGTACATATCAATCTACAACAGCCGCTGTATTCTACATGTGCAGAGTTTATAGATTACCAATAGAGCCCATGCTGTGATACATGGAAGGGCATCAATAATGCAGTTACATCTGTGGAGACCATTGGCTCAAACTATGACTGGAATAAACGAGAACTTAAAACATAGATTTCAGGATCTAATAAAATAACAGAAATGCTGGGAGTTATGCATACAGTGTCATGCTCAATTTTGGGGCTGTTTTTCTGGCAATTGTACTATATGATCCTATTTATTCCTGAAGTTGTGCTAAAATATTTTTTACTTTGTGTGCTTTATCTTTGTCTCTGTTTTCCGGTTCCATTTTGGTTCTTTCTCTTCACGTTTGTTGTTCCCAATATATATAGAAAAATCATGCTATGTTGAGTCAATACACCTGTTATGTCTGTATTTATTGGAAAACTCAATAAAAATTACTTTGCAAAAAGAAGGTGCCAGAGTGAAAAAAATGTTTCTGACATATTTTTCATCACTGTCAGAGTGGCGGTTTTTCTGAAACAGATAGGGAGCTTTTATGATCCATTTTGTTCAAGGAATAGAAAAGCATTCAAATTGTGAATTCATCTTTTTTCCCTGGTAATATTACTTACTTATCTACCTTCTTATGTGTCTTATTTTGTAAATGTAATTAATAGTAAACTCAATGAAAAAAAGGTTTGAAAACTCCAAAAGAGGAATAAAAAAAGTATTAGAAAGACTAATTATTTGGTGTATTACAGAAAAGATGGGAAACAAGGCACCAATGCATAAAGGCCGAGTAACAGTTTTATTTAGAAGAAAATGGTGCATATCCACAAAACTGATGCAAACGTAAAAAAGTGAACGCAATCATTTGTACACATTAAGTGATTGTTACTGCCAGGTTGATATGCACCATGATATTTGGATCTATTTACACCACCCAGACCACTGGTGGCCTTCCAGACTGAAACAAGTTTGCGAACAGCCAGACAGCCACTACAGGGGCTCCACAGTGCAGACCAAGTCAAACTCGGTCATATGACACGGTAGCTCATAGGAAAGCATTGCATGCACACATGGTGCTCACCATGCATGCACATCAGGACTCCAATGCTCCACAGTTATGGATCTAAAAGACGCATATCTATCCGTGGCAATACACGACAACAGTCATCCCTTCTCACGATTCCTCTGGCATTTCACCTGTCTACCCTTTGGCCTCAGTTCAGCACCATGGTGCTGTACAAAAGTCCTGAAACCAGTGATGGCCCACTTGCGAGGACAAGGCAAACGTTGCTTTATTTACCTGGATGACATTCTACTCTTTGACCAGATTCAAAGTCATCACTGATTCCAACTCAATGTGTCCAATTTCTGGGATTCATCATTGACGTAATGTACACTCCGACTTCCAGCTACCAAAGTCACGGCAATTTGCAAGGAAATACGCAAAATAATGCATTGGGACGCAATCCCACTCAGAATGCAGAATGCTCTATCCAGACGATTTTCCCAGGTGCGCTGCACTATCAGGCCATGCAATGCCTAAAAGCTTGTTTCCTCAGGAGAAACACCACTTATGACCTGCCGGTCTCCATGACAGAGGAAGTACGGCTAGAACTGCGATAGTGACTCGAATGTATGCAGGCGTGGAATGGCATTACCATCTTTGGAAAATGGACGGATTTTGTCCTGGATCGGATGCCAGATGGGGCTAGGGTGCCACCGATGGGCAGACAACTACGGGCAGAGTCTGGACAACAGAAGAACTCGCCCTGCACATCACTTGCCTGGAACTATTGGCAGATGCCTTCCCTATTCGAAGCCTACTGAAAGGGAGATCCGATTGCTGTATCCTACTACACATGGACAATGTTTCCACAGTTCAATACATCACCCACCTAGGTGGCACTAGCTCTCAGACATTGGCAGAACTCACAAAGGAAATCTTCGATTATTGCCTCCCACGCAATATCACATTGATGGCAGAATATCTGTCAGGAGAAACCAAACTGACAGCGGACTGGTTATCCAGCAGCGATTGCTATTTGGGTTCGCATGTATTTGCAATGCTGAACAGGTTGAGGGGTCCTTTTCTCGTCTTGCACCAACCGACAACTACCGATTTTCTACACTTGGTTGCCTGACCCGGAGGGTTCGGCGGTAGATGAATTTCTGCAGAACTGGCCACCCAAAGGTTCTTATACATTCCGCCATTCGCAATGATTGCGAGAGTGATCCATTACATCAGATTGCAGGAAGTGGAGATCCTCCTGGTGACCCCCTGGTGGCAGAGTCAACCCAGGTTCCCGGATCTCCTAGCACTGTCGTGCCAAAATCCTCTGCTACTGCCGGACGATCAAATGTTGCTCACAGACCCCGTGAAGAATCCTCACCCCATGCTACAAGACGGACATCTCTCTTTAATAGCTTGGAGTCTTTCAGGGGTGCTTGGTGAACCGACGACCTATCGTCAACAGCTAGGGATATCCTCTGGGATTCATGGGCCCCAGGAACAAGGAAATGTTACCTCTCAGCTTGGAATTCATGGAACAATTGGTGTGTGGGATGGAATACCGATTTCTTTACGGCCTCTATATCCTCCATATTGAACTTTCTGGCATCTCTGTTTTCGAAAGGTAAGTCTTACCAGACCATTTACGTGGTGCATTCTGTGATATTGGCGGCTCACATCCCAATCCAAGGGAAACTGATAGGTCAGAATTCTTTGGTTTGAAGACTGCTTCGGGGCATTCGGGTGTGTAGACCCCTCGCCCCGAAATACTCCTCCCTTTGGGATGTAGCCCAGGTTCTTCGTTTCAGGAGTGGCCTTTATGTCTGTCAGGGATCCGCGGGCGGCTAGGAGGGGAGGCTGCACGCCACTTGCAGCACTCACCCTCAGTCCGTCGCCGCCCGCGGTCTCCCCTTGTCTCACCTCTCGGCGAGCGGCAGAGAGGAGACGCCCCCCAGCGGCAGCATGTATTACGCTGCACGCTGGGAGGACACTAAATTATGCAAACGCCGGGGTCACGTGAGTGACCCGACGTTAAAGAAACAGTACCACAATCACAGTGGGAGGTATAGATATCCCCCACATGTGATTGTTAATTCTGATTGGAAGTTATCCAATCAGAATTAAACCAAGGGTATTTATACTTACCTTTCCTGTCCCTCAGTGCCCTGTTGTGGTCTTGTGATACCTGTAGTGCTGTTCTCTCGTGTTGCTCTCTGGTTTCCGATTATTTGGCTCGTTATTCCGATTATCCTGTCTTCTCCACTCCTTTGACCTCGGCTTGTTTCTCGTTCTCCTGTTTTCTGGCTCCCTTTACTTGGCTTGTCTCCTGACCATTCTTGCTTAGCCTGGCCACTCTAAGGACTGGTATAGCATCCTTCCTCTCTGTGACCTGTTAGCATGTTAGGTTCCGGAATCATGACAATGTCTTTACGACAATTGACGGCGAAGTTTACATTCCTTCTGT